CCGCCTCGGGCACCGTCCCCAAGATGGATATCGCCCCCGACACCGGTACCACCCCCAGCACCGGTACCACCCCGAGCATCGTCCCACGCACCGGTACGGCCCCCTGCACCAGTACCGCCCCGAGCATCGTCCCCAGGACCGGTACCGCCCCAGGCACCAGCACCACTCCAGGCACTGGTACCGCCCCCAGCATCGTCCCCATGACTGGTACCGCCCCCAGCACCGGTACCATCCCGAACACTGCCCCAGGCAACGGCTCCACCCCAAGCATCGTCCTACTGCCCCAGGCACTGGTACCATCCCGAGCATCAGCACCACCTCGGGCACTGGTACGGCCCCGAGCATCATCGCAACCACCAGTATTACCCCAGGCACTGGTACTGCCCTGAGCATTGGCACTGCCTCGGGCATCCTCCCAACCACTGGTACTGCCACAGGAACTGGTACCGCCCCGAGCATCGCCTTGGCCATGGGCACCGCTGTGGGCAACCACCCTGGCCATCGGAACGGCCCCGGTGCGCGGGCAGCAGCACTGGCACCACCCTGGGCACCAGCACCAACCCTGCATCACCCCAGACACCAGACAGCGGCACTGGACAGCGACACCGGGCAGTAACATCACCCCAAACAGTACCCATGGGCCCACCTCGGTACCATGGTACCCAACCAGACTGTTGGCTCAGAGAAGCTGGGGAGGTGGCTCCAGGGAAGCCACCACTGCCAGGGGACACTTGGTCCTGCTGTGTGAGTCACTTAAACGTGCCCACAGTGCTGCCCACGTGCGCTCACCTCCATCAGCCTATCCCTCACCCCTGGTGGCTGCTCCTTTCCCTTACCTCCATCCTAATCAAGGGAGCTAATTACAAGGTGAGAGTGTTAATTACCCCATTAAATGCTTTGGTTTCACCCAAGCTTGGTCACACAAACACGAAAGCCCGTGTACGTGCGTGGCTACGCAACATCCTGGGATTTGTTTTCCCTCCTAGCACAGGATTGCTTTGCAAAACTGCGGCAGCAGAAAGTGCTGAGGGAGCTGCAGGACACATGGACACGCACACGGACACACTCGTGACACAGAAAGGGAAATGAGGGTCAACAGGGTTTGTGTCATTCTTCCCTTGGCCTCTGCACATCAGACACGAGGACTGGGCTAAGATCTCCCACCTGGAGCAAGGGACATCTCCATGTCCTGCTCATGTCCCTCCTTCGCATTCAACCCCAGGCTGAAACCCCCCAGAGAGGAAAGTCCAGGGCCTGGGACAGCCCTGTCAGGGACTTGCAGCAATTCAGCACTGTCCATCCACAGCATCTTGTGCTCCCTCCTCTAATCCTGCTCTCACACGTTTGTTATTTTATTTTATTTTGTTTTCTGCTTCCCATAGTTTGATGATTCTCCTGGTGCCACCAGAAGCCTGGATGCCGCACGGTCCCTGTGTCTGCTTTGCAGGCGGCGTGAGTCATCGTGTACACACTGATTAATGTCAAAGCCTGCCTCTCCTTTGAGGGATTAATTTGGGATGAAATCCTCTCAAAAGAAGCGCCTGGAGCTGGAAATCGCAGGTGCTGCCCTGGCAGGTGATGGACACTGGAACACCAGCAGTGATAGCAGGGATGCGGATTTACTGGGAAGGGAGATGCTTGAACCAGATCCTAACAAGGCAGGGGGAGATATTCCCCACAGATAGCAAAGTATCTGCTCATGCTTCAGAAACATGCTTGAAAGCCGGAAAATACGATGTAATTCTGCAGTGGCTGGGGCAGGAAGACACTGGCTGGAGTAATCAGCGAACCCAACTGCTTGGAGGATTATAAATAATCCAGTGTATTAGGATTGAAGGATCCCATGGGCTAATACCGAGAAGGCCAAGGAAGCCAGGGCCACTTTTTCTCGTACTGAGGGTGTCCCGTGGCTTCTCCATGAGCACCGATATTCCTGTTGCCAACATCTGGCCAGGTGTGGGTTGAGGACAGGATTTTCTTACCTGCCTCTTCCCCCGGGATGGATTTAAGCTGTGATGGAGTCTCGGGGGCTTTGAGCCCTCTCCCGCAGCCCCTGCAGAGGCAGCACTTTTGGCAACACTAAAACGTCGCTACCGGTGGCCCCGTTTGGCCCCGAGCTCGTTTCTCCTCGGCAGTGCGGGCCGTGGGGCAGCACCGTCCTTGCGTTCCTGCTTTCTGCTTTCCCTGCCCTTCTCCACAGCGTGGGATGAGCCGGGGATGTTCTCTGGGTTGCAGGCTCCCAGCTCCATGTACTAACAGGTCCTTTGCCGTCAGGCCAGGGGAAAATCCTTGGCCATTCAGGGACCAGCCATGGCCCTCCTGGCCCGCAGGAAGCCTCATGGAGAAGCCGGGATGAGGAGCGCTCCGGCACCGCTGCCACAAGAGGTCCCTGCTCCCTCGCTGGAGAGCCGGGCAGACCAGGGCCCTGCTCCAAAAAGGATTCCGCATTCGCACCTTATTTGGAGATATTCCCCCTTTTCCCCCCAGTTCCGAGGAGTTTTCCAACAGCCCCCAAAAGGCCGTTGCCTCTCATCACAGGGAGGCAGCTCAGCCTCATGGAGCCCCCCGGGCCGGTGCCTGAGCTCCCAGCAGGGCCGGTGGCTCCTTCCAGACATCCAGCAAGGACGTTCCTAGGTCCATCCCGTGAGGCTGTGGGGAATGGAGCCAATCCCACAGTGGAGCCTGCATGGGTGACAGTCAAGGTGTCAATCGACGACGCAGCAGTTTTTTAAACCGCCAGACACCGTCTCTTTCTTATCTCGCGCTGCGGTTCCTCTGCAGCAGGTTGTGCCACATGCGGCACCGATGAGGCATTGCCCACAGGGCAGACACGGCAGTTCAGTGATAATTCCCAGGCTCTCCAAGACAAACCGGGCCCTGTCCCAGATGCTTCCCGTGCTCACGGATGGGATTTTGGTGCTTGTGGGGTGCTCCATAACAGCATGGGCTCTCACAGCCCCACTCTCACCAACAGCCATAGGAAATGGGATGATACAGGGAAGTTTAACTCTCCATGTACACATTTTGATCCAGAAAGTCCTCACATTTATAGGAAAATCTATGGCGTCAAATCTGCATGTGGTCCACCCATTTTGATCCAGAAAGTCCTCACATTTATGGGAAAATCTATGGTGTCAAATGCATCTGCACATGGTCCACCCGGTCCCTTCTCTCCCTCCGTTCCCCACCACAGCGTTTCAAGCATCCACTAACCCTTTGGGAGGCTGTTCCTTGGATACCAGCGTGTCTCCCGCTGTGCTCCCCCCAACCAGGGCCAGTCCCTGCCCTGTGCTGGCACCGTCCCCTCCAGCACCCGGAGCGCAGGAATAACCCGCTCCACCAAGCCCAGAACCGGCTGGGCCCACACGCCCAACCGGCCCATGGTGGGAGCTGGTCTCCATTGGGTCCAAGCAAACCAGGCATCTGGAGACGCTTGTTTTTCTCTTCCCTTTCCCAAGGATTGGATGGCTCTTTGCTCAGGATTTGGAAAAACCTGCAACAAGAGCAGATCTACAAGCACGTGGTGGGATCTCTACCCATGGCCGCAGCTGGGACCTTTCCCACAGCTCTGCCAGGTTCCGGAGCGCTGGTGATGTCCCACACGCAGTGACACAGGCGCACGCGTGTGGCTCGCAGCGTGCTCAATTCCTTGGGTTTCTCCCACAGACTTAGAAACTGTCATGTCCCAAACTTGTCCGCTCTACAGATTTCCTTACCTGGTGCCGTGTTCCTCCTGGGATGGGACAGACAGGGAAATGTGGGGTTGGGTGCCCATCCAGCTGAGTATCCCACCTCTTACTATGGCCAGACATGAACACTTTGGAAAAAGACGTGAAAGCCCATGTGTAATTATCCTTACCCTATAAGCAAATCCATTTTCCTTCTCCACCTTCCTCCCATGGGGGATAAACATTTTTATCCTGTCCAATTTACTGCTCTGAAGCTCAAGGAATTCCCGATGGATACCCAGTGTTTTTTGCACAGTCAGAGGGTACTTACATTGCCACCAGTTCTTGCAATTCAGGGAATTTTGCAGGGAACCCGGCAAGGTGGGCGCGTTGCCGAATCCCCAGCAATTCCCACACCAGGAGGAGAAGCGCAGGAGCTGGTAGCAGCCTCACTGCTCTATTCCCCTCTGGATTCTCTTGGTATTAATATCTCAAACTGAGCTGCTCTGAGAGCAACGGCCCATTAATCATTGTAGCTCTGCTGCAGTTTCACACCACTTCCTCCTCCTGCATGTTCTTCCATTGACTCTGCCTGTTGTGCTCGGCTCAAATCTGCAGGTTTTCGAGGCAGGAAAAGACTGTGACCTGTTCAAGCCGGTGGCAAAGCAGAGGAGGGACAACTCTATATCTACAAACCCACAGCTCTGTTACAGCGTGAACGAACATGCTGTGCTGGCTCATGGTGACAGGGACCTGGAGGGAGCAGAGCTGCCTCCAGTAAATCCTTGCCTACAAACCCGGATTTTCTGGAGCGCAGGCAGCGCTGGAGTGACGCAGGAGAAATGGAGATACCCGGTACAGCAGGAGGCCGGCTCAGGAGCTGGCGAGAGTCAGCCCCAGGGCGGGAGGAAGGTCCCTTGAGAGCCACCTTGGGCTCACCCATGCGCTGGGCCTTGAGGACACCACGTCCTTTCCTCTCCTTCCCTCTCCTTTCCCATCTTTTCCCCTTTCCTTTCTCCTCTCCTCCCTTTTCTCCTTTCCTTTCCCCTTTCTCCTCTCCTTTCCCCTTTCCTCTCCTCCCCTTTCTCCTTTCCCCCTTCCCCTTGCCTTTCCTTTCCTTTCCTTTCCTTTCCCCTTTCCCCTTCCCTTTCCTTTCCTTTCCTTTCCTTTCCCCTTTCCCCTTCCCTTTCCTTTCCTTTCCTTTCCTTTCCCCTTTCCCCTTCCCTTTCCTTTCCTTTCCTTTCCTTTCCCCTTTCCCCTTCCCTTTCCTTTCCTTTCCTTTCCTTTCCCCTTTCCCCTTCCCTTTCCTTTCCTTTCCTTTCCTTTCCCCTTTCCCCTTCCCTTTCCTTTCCTTTCCTTTCCTTTCCCCTTTCCCCTTCCCTTTCCTTTCCTTTCCTTTCCTTTCCCCTTGCCTTTCCTTTCCCCTTTCCTTCCCTCCCCTTCCCTTTTTTCCCTTCCCTTCCTTCTCTGCTTGGCAAGGGTTTGAACCCCTCTGCACAGCAAGCTCTGCGTTAGCTAATGTACTAACAAAGTACAGTCCAGAAAACCAGCCTCCGGCACCATGCCATGCCCTGAATCCCTAGGTGTGCTCCTAGGTGCTGCCCGCCCGACGAGCCACAGCCATGCTCAGCCTTTGCTCTTACAGCCGATGCCTTTTTTAACTTTCCTGGCAGAGGAGTCCAGAGCCGCTGCCGTCTTTATTCCCCCGAGGGGTGGGATTTGGTTTCTCTTTCCTGCCTTTGCACTGTTCAAAAGTCACCCCCGCCGCCTCCGAAGCGGAGCTTGGGCTGCAGCCAGCGTCCCAATAAGCTGCAGTGCAAAAGTCCCTGCCGCTTGGCAGCGACGCGAGTGCCACCTGGCTCGTCCCCGAGCCGAACACCAGCCTTTGTATCTGCCACTTGGCAGGAGCGCCGCGGCTCTCGCCCGGGAGCATTTCCCAGCAAACAGCATTTCTGGCCTTTTTTTTTCCCCTCCTGACAAATTCTGCTGAGTCAGAGGAAGCCTCGGCGAGAGCTGCCGCGTCTCCACGTGGGAACTCGCTGCTGCGGAATAATTACGGAGTTGAAACAGAGCTGCTCAGCGGCCAAATTGCTTCACGCTCAGGCACCTGGCCAGGAGGCAGAGCCCCAAAGCTGCTCGTTGGCACCGAGAGAGGGAAAAAGCCTTCGCACCTGTGCCCGTGGCGGGCACGCAGCGCGCCGGGGCCGCGCGGCCCTGGCACCGGCCCCGCAGGCATGCGCTCCCACCGCTCGCCTGCCCCGTGAAGGC